TAGTGAAAACAATTAACTTTTCCAGCTTCTTATACAGTTTGATTATGAGGTTCCTTACAAACCAGGCATGTTAATGACAATAATAGAAATAAATTATAACTTTATGGTTATAACTAATGATATTTTATTGTCTATATGCTTAATGCTAATACATTTACATATTTATAACTGCCAGCTCTAGAGAAGTTTTCGAAAGTTTCGTAAAAACTAGCTTATTTAGCTTTTTGTTCATTGCACTTTTTTTGAATCAGTTCTTTACAACTATTTAAAATGAATTCAGTATTGAAAACTAGAATTTGTAAAATATCAGCATAATAAATACTTATTGAGTAAGTATTTATTATCAAATCTTGACTGTTCCCTTTCAGTAATCCTTGACACCATTAATTCTTTTAACAACATGCATTGTAAACTTGAGTTTTCATGCATCGTAAAGTAAACTCTTCTCATTTGCCTTCTAGGGTCCACCTGAGAGCAGCATGCCTTTTTTCTCCAGCCATTATTTCTAAAATTATAAGTGCAAGTAATATTTATGTTCATTTAAATACAACTGCAGACTAAAAGCATGCAGCTAATTCAAAATAGCAGTTTCCTTTACATGTTCATGAAATCTCTAAAATTTCATTTTTCTAGACAGTTATCTATAAAGTTCGAGAGTTGGTGTGAAATATTTATTTTTGTAAAATTCTTAGATTGTTTTTCTTTTCATGTTGACAACTATGCTTATTTATGTACTTAATTTAAAATATATTTTTTTCTATTTAGATGATGAAAATGTTTGAAGTGATGAAATCTTTTTGGAAACTGAATGTTGCAATCATGGATTGATAGTGATATCATTGGTAGTCAAAACAAGAAGCTATCAGCTGATCTGATCATTAGTTAGTAATTAAACTACCGTTCTATATTTAGAAATCTATCTTTGCATGTGGTTTAATAAAATTATTTCTTCTGCATCATCATGTTTTTGGTAAAAAAATGAAAAAAACCTTGTTTAGTGTCAATTTTTTAAAGCTATAAAAGTTAATATTGGGTTTTTCATTTAATGCTCATGAATCTGATCTCCTACTGTATAATTAATTTTATTTATTAAATAGTAATAGTATTAATAGTATGAGCCTAAAAGTAGAAATAAATCTATAAAGTTAATGTAAAATACACATAACAAAATTAAATTAAGTTTAAATAGCACACTCTCACTAATGCATATTTGAATCTTTATTGTTAAATACATAAGGCTTCACAGTTTTTAACTCTAGCGTTATAAAATATAAATGCAACAGTAATATAAAAGGAACAAATTTATTAATCTTTTTGTTTAAACACACATCTATTTACTGTATTTATTAAGATTTATATATATAAATATATATAAAAGTTCAAAATGTAGAGAAAACAAGGGAAAGATTAAAGAACAGTGAAAGAAGGGGAAAAAAATAAAAATAACAAGAAACCAGAAGAAAAAAAAAACAATCCGAATTTTCAGATTGTTTCCCCTACCCCTTCCAGTTTCTTGTCATTTTTATTATTATTTTTTTCCCCCTTCATTCATTGTTCTGTAATTTTTCCCTTGTTTTCTCTACATTTTGAACTTATTTTATGAGTTCAGTTTACTTGTAGCTTATGCATAATAAATAAAACTTATTGTTTTACTTTATTTTCTTCGTGTTTTTGTTTATTATGCTATATATATATAGTACCCATTATAAATTTATAATCAGTAAAAACTAACATTTAATCTGACTTTTATTTTCACTAAAATTAAANATATATATATATAGTAATTATAAATTTATAATCAGTAAAAACTAACATTTTATCTGACTTTTATCTTCACTGAAATTAAACTGAAATAAATAATTAATGGTCTTCCATATTTATATAATAAGATGAATAGAAAGTGAAATTAAAATTACATATAATTATAAAGAGTATCAGTTACTTATCCTATTCTTCAAAGATTTAACCTTAGAAAAAAAAGACTTCATTTTTAGATAACTAATTTTAACTTTATATTTTTATTTCAAGAAACCAATTGGTCTATAAAATTATGAAAAAAAGCATACATAAACATTTTTAGCTTATTTTTTTAAAACTAGAGAATAAAACTTTAAATTTGTTAATGAACCGCTTAGTTTAAAAGAAATATGTTTAAAAGAAACAGTATAAATAATATTCAAATGAAATCTTAAAAATAATATTTAAAAAATCTTAAAAACAATATTTTATTCTTTAACTATTTTTTAATAGTGATATAAACTTTCTCAAAATAGTTAAAAATTGTCAGCAAATGTTAAGAGTTAACGTAAAGGTCAAAAAAGTTTTAATTAATTAAAAGGTTACTTTTTTAAAGGTTAATTTTTCTTTATTATTGTTATCATACATTAGATTCAAAGTATCCACATTTCTTACATGGCTATTCACTTTTACGAGTTTTGTAGCTTTATCTATTTCATAGTTTACTCCAAATAAAACCAAAAGTTGAAAAGTGTCTTTCAATGAAAGCAGAGGATGCTGGTGCTGAGTGTAAGGAAGAAAAAAAAAATTGTCAGAAATTTTGTGTAAGCTTAGAATTTTTTTCACTTTTTTTTGCCATAATTTTGAACCATTTTTGTGTTTAAAACTGTTGAATAATACTGTCAAGCATCATCGATTTTGGAAAGTATTCAGCATCGGAAGTTATGAGGGCCATAACACCTGGAGGAAATTCTAGATGATGATTAGAAAGCCAGTTTTCTGCTAATTGCTCTTGTTTATCATTTAAAAGTTGTCCTCTTGTTTCGATGATGTATGCTAATAAATGAGATGGCTGAACGCTCTGTTGGGATCTTTTTACAAAATGTGGTTCTGATTCATCCATATTTCAACAGCTTCTGAAATTGAAGTGTTTTCTGATTGAAGCGTATTCAAAGCTTTAGAAACAATTGATAAATGTTTTTCCAAATTTATATCTTCTAGGTAAAGATCAACATTATTTAATATTTTTGACATATTTTTATTGAATCTAATTTGATGTTCAAGAGCAATCTCATGATTTCAATGGTAATTATTGGCAAAAGGTTTTACACAGTCACAATATGAACTCACTCTAGAGCCCTATCCAATAAAACATAGGCAGGTTTTATCAAAGTGGGCCCACTTGGCGAGCCCTGACTTGTATGAATGGAAACTATTAAAATTCTAAAAAAATTATGTTTGTCATTCTTGTTCAATTTTATTGCCTTATTTAAGTGTCTTATTTATCTCATTATAAAATTTGTAATGCTCATAAATTATAGTATTTAAAGATAATTATAGTGCTGTTCTAAACCGTTAAAAAATGTTTCATTTCCTTTAAACTTTTAAGATTGTTCAACACAAAAAGTTATGTCATTTGACCTGCCTTTTTTCCTTTGTCACTTTCTCTTTATGCTGTTCTATCAGGAAATATTTATGGGGTTGGTTTTCATTCTAACTTGCTTTTGTATGTAGAGATGCCAACCATTAAGATTTATCTACAATCATTTATCTTTAGTCATTGATTTATTATCAATAATCATATATAATGAAAAATTGAAGATTTTTCTTGACAATTCCATCGTTCAGATGACAGTCTTACAATCGAGTAATAAAAATTATGGTTTTTAGAAAAAGTAATGAATTAAAATGTCATTTTTTTCTTAAATATTAAGAGTTAAGAAATTTTAGTGTGAATAGATTTTCTATGATAAATTGCCTCTGCCTCTCTTAAAACTATTGCTGATAGCAAGAAATAGTAAAAAGATATCTAGAAACAAGAAAACAAAAATTGATAGAAGCAAAAAAGCAGGATATCTAATCACCCTTTCACAGCTTTTTTTTTTTGACTGATTAAAGTAAAAAATAAAAGTGCTTGATGTATCACATGAGACATGTTATTAGTAAAATTCATTTTGTTTTCTAAGCTAAATATGTCTGTGATATATATTTTTTAATTTGAAACCTTTTCTGAAGTGTTATTTTTTTTTCATTTAATCCTAAATAACAATTTTATAATTCATGTACCCTTTATGTACTTTTATAAATTTTAGTAATAAAACATCTTAAAATTGTATTAGTGTTTAATTTCCATAAACTTTCAGTGCTATTGTACTTCTGAATACTGATAGCCAGTGTATAAATAATAGCTAGTGTATCTCTGCAAGTTTATAAATAATTGTTTTAAGTAAAATCACATTGATTCAATAGGAGCCTGAAGGAAAAGTTCAATCTTTTGGTTAAAAGAAATTATTATGAGCATCAACAAGAAGGTATGACATGAGCTTTGGAAAATGGCAAAAAGGATCACAAACAAATCAAGTGAAACCAATCTGCATGCATACAAGATGATTCAACCAGGCAGGCTACCATGTCCGACTACAATTCTGTCTTCACTGTTTCATCTGGTAAGTAAGATTTATGCTGATAATTAGTGTAATATTTTTAACATATTGCATTAGTCTACACAATTTAAACATTTTAATTTTAGTTGAAAACATTTAAGAATAAGAATTTTTCGAATTATTTCTTTTTCAAGAAATAAAAGTAATTTTTCTTCATTTCGAAGGACATGTATTGTCCTAAATTCTTATATATCAAGAGATCGTGTGAAGTCATTTTAATTGATAATCACGAATTTTTTTATTAAGGTTTTTTAACTTTTCTTATAACTTGCGGAAGTTTTATAAAACTATGTATATTTTAAGGCACAATTGAGCTTTATTTGCATAGTCAAATAGTTCATTCATTATTAACTTTGAAGAAAAACTCATTAAATATTTCTGTATATCAAGTTTAAAAGGGATCCTGAAATTTCTACCCCATTGAAATAAAACTAATCTGGGGGAAAAAAACTTTGCCCCCTATTAAAATTGTTTGTTTAGCTTATTGAGTTACTCTAAGCAAGGATTTATATATTTTACTATGTAAATAGCATAATAAATAGTTTTTTATATTTAATTTTATTATTTTATTCCTAATCTTTAAGAAAGAAAGAGAAAATTTAATACAGGAATGAAGAAAGAGTATTTAATTTTTTATTTTATTTAAATACATATCATTTATTGCTTTTCACTTGAATTTTTTATTTTATTTCGTAGGTTAATTGCTATTAACTTAAGTGTGATTAGGACATAAAAAGTGAAATTGCATATAACAAAAGCATTGAAATCAATAATAATTAATTGGAATTAATTTTATTTGCATTAATATCTTTTATGCCTTTGTTTAGAATGAAGTATAGAATAAAAAGATGCATGTTTGCCTTTTCTTCTTATGCTAAAAATTATGAAATAAATCATATTACCAATTACAAGATGTATTTTTAATACAAAACACAAGATATTTTAATTTTTAGAAATATTTAATTACAATTTAATATTCATTACCGCAAACTTTATTGAATTTACCATTACATTTCTGGATCTTGTCAATTTCTCCTGGTCTATTGGTTTAAGGAAAATTCCCTAAATTTGAGTAAGTTTCCCTAAAAAAATCCTGATGGAAATAGAATTTTTACACAATTCATCGCTTACTTGAATATTTAAATAAGTATTACTAACACATAGTGAAGGGAATCTCATTCATAAGCATTTTGTTTATTTTAATTCAGAACTTTCCTTTTATATTAACTAAAAATCTATTAACTATTAATAATAAATTACTTGTCTATCACTATTTAAAATTCTACTAAAAAACATTTCAAGTTCATTTAATATCTATCATAACTGGAAAATAATGTAGACCATTTATAGCTATAAGTATAATAAAGTTTTTTATATTTTGATGTCAAAAAATTTCTAAAATTCTTTATATGTAAAATATTTAG